TGGTTTGTGCCCTGCCAAGGCTTGCTGCTTTAGTGGAGGGCATGGTGGGCGTGCACTAAAGCCCTCAGCCAGAAGCAAGAGCTAAACCTGGTGTCTTCATAGTTGTTTGTAGTTGTGTTTTGACCACCCAGTCATCCAGACTAAGTAGATGTTTCTGATAAGCCAGCTGCATTGGCATACCTTACTTTTCATTTTAAAGAAGTACTGTTAGCAATCTGAACATCTGTACTACCCTCAGGGCACAGCTGGTATAAACTGTGTGGGATGAGCCCAGGAACAGAAATTCAACCAAAAACACTCCTCAGATGGTACCTTGTGGCCACCCCATTTCCCAAAGCCTTCTCCAGGCTCCCTGGGTCACTCCTGCCACCCTCTGGGGTGCAGTCACAGGACCAGGGACCCTCAAAATGAGGATTCCTCACACCCATCCTGTGCTAGACCAGAGCATCTCCTCTTCAACACTTGCTTGTGTTCCCAGTCCCGTGCTTGTACTGTGCCAACTACCAGATGTGAGTGGATATTTACCTGAGGTTCAATATGTTACATCCTTCCAGCCTGAATCTCAGTGAGCAGGAGTAGCTGCGGGTTATAGTTAGAAATGACATGGTGTTATGTTCATTCCTGTAAGAGATAGCAGGCCTGTAATGCTTTTATCTCCTTAAACTTGGCCTTGTTTGCACAAAAGCGTTCTTGAGTAAACAGTGCTCTCCTCAAAAGCTGAGGCCTTAAGTATCTTGCAGACATGCCCTGAATTTCCATCAGCCAACATGTGCAGCATTTATCTTATGTAGATAAAGCCATGCCGAAAACCAAAGAGGTGAACAGCAAAGCCATTGTTGGCTGGGTTCCACTGTCTGCCTTTCAGTGCCCTCAGCAGTTCCTGTGCCACCGGTGGGCTGTAAACGCCACTGCATGCCTCCCCAGCCAGCCCAAATATGGGCCTGGTGAATCTTAGCACCAATCCTGGTACTTTAGTAAAATTCTGAAGGAAAAACAATACCAACCTCCCTTCCAAAATCCTTTACTTGTGACATGTAAAGCTTCTATAAGCAGAAATAAATTATTCTATATAGCTCATTCCAAAACCATGATGCTCAGGGAACAAAAGGGGCACGTGAGGGATCAGGTTTTGTTTCACCCCAGAGATGCAGAGATCAGGACTGCCAAAGGGCAAATGTGAATACAGAACATGTGAGCACCAATTGCGCTGCACTCGAGTCATACAGATGCACGTGTGCACACAGAAAGAATGCACATATAGTGCTTCTGTGTGGCACGTGGAAATAGGAACATGGCAGAGATTTGCTGGGAAGTGAAAGGCAGAGCAGCCAGGCTGTAGCCTAGCAGACAGAGAATTGTTTTTCTTTCTCAACAGTTGGACTTGATGGCACTACAGAATACTGATTGGGCACTACAGCTTAATAAAACACGGAGATGCCTTTTATTTTGAACCAAAAGTTAAAATTTTATTTGGAATATCAATATACCAAAAAAAAAAATAATAATAAAATAAAAAACTTCATTTTATGTAGTGAAATAGCCATTTGAAAATGGTAAAATAAAGACATTTCTCATACTATTCTCTCATAGCTATTGTACATGTATTATTTTCCCTTGCTTTTTTTTCTTGTTTTTTTTTTCTTTTTTTCTGAATAGAAATCTAGCTTGAGCTTTAAGGCTCCTCAAAGCCTAAAGCATGTAGTGGCTTTTTAGAGAAAGCAGATAAGTCAATCAGAGCTGTATTTTTTCAGCAGACAGCCCTGTCTGAAGCTGTCGAGGGCCGGACAGACATGAGACTTCTCAGGAAGGTCACTATTTCAGGGGAATATCATTTCATACCCATTGGAAAATATCCTCTGACCCCACTTCATGCAGCATTTTATTGAGCTTTATGATGCACTGGGAGGTCCCTGGTCTCCCTTCACTGTAGGGCTCTTGTGCAGATCTCACCTTATTTGTGTTCAAGAAATCAAATTAATTCTACTTTGTGTGTGGTTGTTGCTCTGCTATAAAATAAGTCCCTAACAAGGCACTGATCCTGTCCTTGCCCCTGTAAGTGAAGGGTTTCTGTGCCCATGTGTACACTGACCACAAAAGTGTTTGTAATAGCAGGATCAGGGATTCATCTTTTAGCTTGTTTTTAATAAAATAAATGGGATGGGCAACCATCCTCTGCTATATTTTACCTGCTTTATCAGGGGGGTTGGACTCATTGGTCTCAGAGGTCCCTTCCAACCCCTGCCATTCTGTGGGATTCCATGAAAATGTATTGAAATAAAAGAGTAGGAACACACTGATAGTGCTGAGCTGTATTTCTTCTCTTTTAGAAGGCTCATTGAGATGGCTCTTGGAAATAGGACTGAGGACTAATGCCAGGGTCTGGGCGGTTTTTGTCACTGCTCTCTGAACCAACCACACTGCAATAGACTGAAGCAAAGCTGGTGGACATCTCCGGGCACCTCACTAGCAATCTCATTTTCTGCAGGTATTCAGCCACACGCTGAGCTTATGTGGCACAGTCTGCACTGTGCTGAGCTTTCTTCCTCAACCAAAGACACTTTTGTTACTTAAAAGTGGTTCTGCATTTATGCCTTGTGTATCAATAGCTCTGTTTCTAGTTCTGAAGTACAGAGACAGAATGCAAATACTGGAGACATTATGGCACGTGCTTACAAAGGCTGCTGTGTCATATCTGCATTTACTGGCGCCTTACACTGGCTGTTACCTGAAAACCTGATATCGTTCTCCTAGGTGTCGTTGCTCTCAATTCATCCATTCTCCTACATTTTTCTTTTTAGGACAGAAAAACGACAGGCCGAGCAGTTAAAGCATAGACCAGCAGACCACAGGAGGCCTTTGGCTACAGCCTCCTTCCATCGTGGCCCAGCCTGGGCCCTGCACAGCATCACGGCAAGCAGGCCACTGTGCACAAGTCAGTCCAGCGAGTGGCTCAGCCCTGTCCTCAAAGCTTCCTCCCTACCCAGGCACCGACTGGTCTCCACTGCCATCTCACCTGCAGTTCATGCTCCCCTACAACACAGGCTTTGTTTATCCCTGCTGTTCAGCTGGACCTCTTCGAGTGATTCCTTTCACACGCTTAAGCCCTTATGGTAAGACAATGCTTTTAATCATTTCCTCTGAAATCGTGGTGAAAGATGTCTTTAGGAAGCAGCCACTTACGTGTTATCAGTGAGCTGAGACGCACACCATTTGTGACTGACCTACAGGAGTCTTGTCAGCATGAGGACTTTCCTTCTCCTCACAGACACAGCTTGAAGGAACTTGGCAATTACCCAACTTCTTGGTGTTTCCCAAAAAATCCTGCTCACAGCTGCTTACAGGTAAGCATGCACAACCCTACTGTTTTTATTTCAGTACACTAGATGAATGTGTCAGACACAAAGCGCAGACTTCAGTCCTGGCAGACTGACCTTATCATCAGTGTAACCTGCCTGAGTTCAGCAGTGAATCTCCTGACAGCATTGTGGTTACTGTCACAGTCCCATAATTTTTAGTGCACTGTGCAAGCTGTAGTCTCCCAATGCATGTGTGAATATGGCAGAACTGCAGCTTTACTTAAAGTTATTGCCAAAAAAAAAAAAAAAAAAAAAGGATTCTGGTAGTGACAGAATAGTGTGCAAGTGTGGCTGCAAGGTTTAAACTAGGGGAAATAAGTAGGACCCAATTAGCTGTATTTGGGTTGGAACAGCTGGAACATTAGAGATGACTGCCTCGCTGTTCAAGTACATGGGTTAAAAGTGATGTCTAAATATCAAGAATGTGCTTTTTAGAGGGGGGAAAAAAACAACCAAAAAGGAAAAACAGTATATGTTGACTTTGGTCATATCCTCAACTTCTTTAATGTTAGTTGCCACACTTGCCTCCAGTGTAAAATCTCAGAGAAGCTCCATGGCCAGTTGGAACTGGCATGTAGAAATGCCTCTGTGACATGCCAGTTCCAACTTCTGATGGCAGATGTAATCCTCATTTATTCCCTACGTGTCCGATCTTGCTGTTCCTTCCCTACACACATACTCGCCAGCAAACCTATCCTCCCACTGGACTCCCTCTCTCCACTGGTTTCCCTACACATCTGGGGTACACCTGTACTGCATCTGGAGGAGGCCAATAGGCCAGCCCCTGGTCTGGAGCCACTGACCAGGCAGCATAGAAGAGACCTGGCCCTTGGGATTGCTGGGGTCATCTCCAGGTCTAACCTGAGAGCTCACAGGCATGGGGGCAGATTGGGAGCAAACAGCGCCTGTGGGGGCTTTCAGGGAACGGGGGTAAAATGCCTGCTCTGTTCAACTCAGTGTCAGCACTGCCACCATTTCCATCTGGCACACACAGAATGCTTCCCTCCTCCTTCTCCCTCCACCCCCCACCCCCCCCTCCCCCATGCAATTAAGGAACACAGTGTACAAAAAACACAGTGGGTTGTTTGCACACTCATTAGCAACCCATCCCGCTTTCTGTCTGTGTAAAACTTGGGTTACAGGTCTTCCCTTAGCTGTGGTATCACTTCCTATTTGTAAAGCTTCTTGGACTTTTAAGCCTCTACCTGCAATCCTCCAGCTACCAGGGGTTGCATGCAGCTCCTTGCGTGGCATGATGGGGCCACCACTTCCCATCTAGAGTGTAGGTAACCTGAAATTTGGGTTTTCCCGGTTACTCTGTCTTCATAGCCTGGTTCTTAGCCAGGGCAAAATTAAGCATGAGGATAAAGGCTTACTCAGCATTACAGTTATCTACTCCCAGGCTGTAAAACAAAATGGTTTACACATTTAATTGGTTTTGCCTATTGTTTCCATGTACACAGTAGTTCTATTAATGAATATCATAGCTTCATTACTGGATATTACATTTTGCTGCTTGTTGTGTACCATAAAATAACGTCAGCACATCAATAACTTAAATAACACAAATGTAAACATCTTTTCTGCTTGTTATAATTATGATTTCGGCCTACAGAGGCTTTTTGATTTGTAAGACCATTCACATAACATGGAATGTAACTTTATTTGTTTTTCTCTTGTATATAATGAGACACCAAAAGCCCTTGTCATCTCTTAACAGGATACTAAAGCAGCTCTGGTTCATGAATGACAGCACAATTAAAGCTAAAAATCAGAATTAAAAAAAAAAAAAAAAAACCCTTTGCACTGTACAATCTCAAATTAAAACAAGAAAGATAATGACAATCTTTTGCATTAGCCAGGAAATGTGATTCTCTGCCGCTGGGCTTTTTTCTTGCTGACAATTCACAGAACGTGTATATGGGTGTAGTTATAGGTGTGTGTATTCTACGCAGAACAGCAGTCCCTATTTTGTTGATCTAGTTCTTCTAATTGTTTAGTTAAGCTACCTAACTGATACAATTTAGAGTACTACATTAACACATTTAACATCAAGTTTACATACTTGCGTCTTTGAAATACTAGGAACTTTTACACATTTTATTTGGCTTTGTAAGGACTGGAATATCACAGATAATGCAATCTATTCATCTTTGAGAGAATATGGCTGTTATCAACTAGCTCTCTAAGGTTCAGAGTGAAACACATTTCTCCTTATTTCTGTAGCCGACTGCGGAGAAGAAGAGTGTCTTCTTTAGTGGTCAGTCTGATGTTACAGTACCGACTCTGCAGAGAGAGAGATACATGTTTAATGAAGAACAATTCTCTCTGGACATTAGAGCTAAGCCGTTGCAGCAAAATCACTCCGCTCAGACTAATTTCCTACACCGATCCCAAGAAAATCTTATTCCAGGCATGTTTTGCAGTAGTATCTCCATGTGACCAGAGGAGGGCTCTTGGCACATCTTCACCCAGCCTGGCAGGTGCGTGCAGAGGCACAGAGCCAGCCAGCGCTGCCCGGTCCTGCACTCTTCCCCTCGCCTCACCTCCCGGCTCCACCCGACGCACGGTTTGGGAATCAATGGGAAGAGGCGTCGCTCACCGCTCGCTGGCTAGAGTGGCTTCTCATTTCCCCTCATTCCATTCCGTGTTGCTGTGGGTTAATTTGAGATTGATGGATAGTTCTTAAAAATCATGTTTCAGGAGTTGCCTCCCTCTCCTTCCTGAACATTCATCTGCTATTAGCCCCTGGTAATTTAGCATATATTGGTTGATTTAACCCTCTGTGTCTTATCCTGCTGCAGAAACTCCTTGCCTTTAGCTGAAAAGCGCACCTGGAAAATGCACTTGCTGAGATATGTATTGCAACAGCGTTCCTTTTCACATTAGGCTCTTGTACAAGTCCTGCTCCTTCCTGCACCCCAGAGAGGTGCCTGCCTCCCAGCTCTACTCCCTTGGCACAGGACAGAGCAGAGCACTCAATCTCTTCTCACTGCCATTCATGACCACAATGGAGTTCAACCGCTTTCCACACAGCTGTACGTGACATCCTCTTGGGGCTTCATTTTGGCTAAATCTTTTATAGAAAAGATTTTAATTTCACAATCCTACCATTAACGTAAATGTTTTGTTTAAGTTTAATGCTGAAAAACTATTAGAAAGAATTTAGCAACTTTTTTTCACAATAAAATTCTTTTCCATCCCAGGGAAACACAGTTTATTTAATGTACTTTATTTTTCCCCCTCAATATTATTCCTTTCTGCTTTTCTTCTCTTTTCTTCTCACTTTTTTTCTGTTTCTCCTTTTCTTCTTTCTTTTCTGGAGCAGGCAGGTACAAGAAGGAAGGAGTCTGTCATCAGCAGTCCTTTGAATTAGAGTAAATTGCAGTGAGTCCTCACCATGATAGGATCATAAACTTACTGGGTTAAACCAAGCTAACTTTCCCTAAGCTGCCAAATTTTAGCTGCACCATACATATATGTGTTTCCTTGTGCCATTTTCTTTTCTTGTAATTTTGTTTTTCTTGATGACCCTGAGCTATGGCTTCTGTCTCATTCTCACCACTAGTCAACCTTCTTTGCTTTTGTGGTTTTGCCAATATAGGCCTCAAAGAAAAAATGGCAGAAGAGCACAAAGTAGCTGAGGTACATGAGAGAGGACCAGATGATGTTCTGCACGTGGGAATGGCACTGGCCATGCTGCATCCAGGAGAAGACCAGGTAGTTGATTACACAGCCAACCAACATTTGGGTGATCTGCGACAAGGTGATGAACATGGCAAACTTGCGTGAGACTCTGAAGCCAGCAGCCCGCAAGGCATAGTAAGAGTACATAACAGCGTGCACTCCATAGTTCATGGTCATAAACCAGCCACCGCCAGCCACCATGTCCTTGTAGGAATACCAAGAATAAAGTAACACAGTAATGTGATGGTACCAGTGTAAGAAGATGAGCTTCTGTTTTCTAAGAATAATGAATATTGTATCTCCTGTAACAAAAGAAAAAACAGAAAAGAAAAAAAAAGGGAGGGGAGGAAATGAGAAACACATCAAACACAGTTATTGAATTCTGCAATGCTCTCTTCCCATTCCTCCTGCTACAGTATGTGCTTTTGGAGCATGAAAGAGCACCTCAGCAACTGAACTCAGAGCTTGTCAGATCCGAACGCCAGCTTGGGTCTCGTATCTTGGTGCTTTTTGGAAAACCCAAGAATCCCCTTTTTGTTGACTGGACATCCCCTGTTTGAATACTCCATAGGTCTTTGCTGTACACATAATCTGTAAAAGCCTGAAGTGAGGCAGGTGAACATACATGCACCACTACCGACTGTCAGGCTGTCCATTGTGCACTGTGACTACAAGAAAAAAGCAGAGAGCAGAAAATCTACAGCACAGTGGTTTGAATGTCTACCTGCAACTGGCTCTAATTAAATGTTATTATGCAAAAGCTGTTGTGTACATTACTGAAGGTATGTAATTGCCTGGAAAAAAAAAAAAGCTTTTAAAAAGAAATTTGGTTTATGTTGAAATGAATATTCTCTCTGTAAATTCATGTTACTGATTTAGAAAAGCAAATTTTATTCCTCATTCCTACCTTTTTCTTTCTTCTGCTTCTCGTGATTGCTCTGAGCATCCCAATTAGATCTAACCTATACGTAATTAGATACAATGAATATATATGTATCTACTTATGTGCTATTGTTATAGACAGTGTTTCCAAACAGGTACCTTGAGATTTGAATCAGGGGCCTTATTTCTACATATATATCCCTGAAAATCCAAATAAGAGTATCAGTGAGGGCTGGAACTGAAACTGCACCATCTGCACAAGGTCTCCAATAAGCCATAATACTTCTGTTTATCTCATTAGCTACAAGATGTTGACTCACATTTCAATAAGTAATCATATGACCAATTTATTGTTGATGCGTAGTTCGAGCTGACGTCCTCCAGTTTTAACCAAATGAGATTTCAGTGGTTTTGCAGTAATTTAAGCAGCAGGAAACCAAAAGATTCTGACACAGCAAAATAAATGGTGCCTGTCGCTCCCAGTGTTTATGCTGATGAATTGCTATCCTGTAATTTGCTGAATCAAATTGTCTACTGAAAGGTAAAGACTTATTTTGCTGCACACCTGAACACAGTGAATTCTGCAGCCCTTTGAGGTTTGGCAAAGGCATCCTCCTAAAGGAAAGCTGGAAGGCTGCTGAATCACTGTCTTCTTCCTGTTAAAACAATCCTCTCTTACACTAATAAGCTGTGGGATCAGAACACACACAGATGGGATGTTAAGTTGGCTTTGGCATGCATATCATAAGTATCATTACAAATAAATCACTGGAGAGACAGCCGTTTATAAAAAGCCGCATCACACTGGATTTGGGATTTAAAAAGCCAGGGATGTTGTGGGAAACTGGCTTCTATCTAAAGATAGCTTTCAGCATTCAGAAGAAGCACATTACTGGTCATAATTGTATGCCCACACATACATTTAAGGATGAATGCTGCAGAATGGAGGTAGCTTCTTGCCAACACAATGGCTCTAGCCCAGCCTCACACCAATATCCACAGGGTGGGTGGCTGCCAGTGATGCTACTCAGATTTGTCTGCAATCACTAACTACTTCAGAAGTGATTAGCCAGGCCTAGTAGTGATGAAGGGAATACCAAGGGATTTTTTCTCAACATCTGTATCACGTTCATGAAGTATACTGGTCCCTTGGGGATGAACCTGGATGTACAGATCTTCTGCATGAACTTGCAAAGCATGAGACCCCAGCTACGAGCAACACTGGACTTGTATCTCCTGCTGCTGGAAGACATGGGGTAACAAACAAAAATACAAAGCACATGAAGAGTGCTTGACTGGCAAGCTTGGATATTGGAAGGGTGGCAGTGTGTTCCTGGCAAATTGTTGTAGACATGAAAAAAAAAACATCTCTAGAACTACAACTCTAACTGATGTTTCCTAATGGAGACTTCTTACTAGCTTTTCCTGGTTTTCATTCTACCTACAGCTCTTACTGTGTCAGGATGCCAAATACCCTTGAGTAGTGGCCACTCACAGATGAAGACAATGTGTAACAGCAGGAGCTCTAAAGCGGAACAGGTAAGCCTTTTGCCACTTACAGGATGCCTCACAACTGTGAATCCATAGCTGATGTCCAGCTGTTGTTAGATAGCTAAAATCTATGGCTGGCAGATAGGCTACATAAATTAATGGGCAGGTTGGTGATGAGGCAGACTCCGGTCCTTTAAATACACTGGAGCTTAGTTGAGGACTTGGACCTACCTGTTCTGTTACCTGAAACTAGCGTCATCACAGATGTGCTGACAATGGCTAGAAGAAAGCTCAGAAAGCTGAGCTGTAGTTTCAGCTTTGAAGATGTGTCTAAATGAGGCATACTTTGGAGACCTCTGTGTGGACAGTCTGAGGTGTATATAAATAAATGGGATTGTCCAGTATGACTAGAGCAACCAATATAAGGCCTTTATGCTCTGCCAAATTAATTGCAAAAAAAGCAGTTTTGAAACAACGACAAAGGCCCAGCTCCTTTTCAGAAAAACTGGCAGAGAGGCAGAGGAGAAAGAACAGCACTGAACTTGATGGCATTTAGAGAGAATGCTCTCTTCGTTCTGCTCTGGAGAGAAATAGGAAGACAGGGTACTCACCTAGTTCAGGTGCTTTGCTTAGCACAAATGCATATGCCCAGAATTTGCTGACAGGTCCAATGTAAAAACTCTGGTCACACACTGACTGCTTCAGGCCTTTGGTCATCAAAATGTACAGCATGTAAGGAGCAGTTCGAACAGCACCGAATATACTTTAAAACAAAAAGAGAAAAATGAAGAAAGTTGAGTAGATACTTGGCATCTACATGTGGTCACTTCAATTCATTATGAGGAAAAAAATGCCATAGATGTGCTGAAAAAAAATGAGCTTGAGACAGCCTTAAAGTTGGATAACTCTTCTGGCTTCTAGGAAGGTATTCTGAAGTCATATTTGCAAAGTGGACTGCAGTAGTATTCCCTGATGAAAGTCTGGAAAGGTAACATCAATGTTTTTTATTTCATTACTACAGCAAGGAGTCTTCTGTTTTCAGGTAGAGTTGGAGACCCCTAATTCCACTGAAAACAACATGCAGAGTTTTGATTCTAGCTGGTGGCTAGAATATTACAAGACACAAATTAATAAAGAGCTGCCATCAATATAACCAGGAACAACTCCCTCCTCTGATTTCCTGAGTTTTCTCTTGTCTCTCCCTGTACGTGTTACATCCATGGGAGTTCTGAGCAGTGAAGAAAACAGGCAGGGTACACAGATTGCAGTGGGATGTTGTGGTCAGGGCTGGTGGTTTGGTGCACATGCTGACTTCATCTCTTAACAGGTCATTGCTAACAGAAGAACTGACTGGTTGAATTGTTGTAAACAGCACAGATTCACTCTCATGTCGTCAGTGAGGTGCAAGGTAACAGTGTTCTGTAAATGAGAAACATCATGAAATTTGAAATCATACTAATTAGTGCAATTACAGAGGAGATAGGTTTAGATAACAGAAGACATCCAGCTAATGGAAGGAGATTCTGTCTCAGCAGTGAGGCACTTTGCAGAAGTAATTGCTTCACAAGATCATGCTTGCCATTTAACGTTTAACACTGTCACTTGGTGGGCCTTCAAAAGCCATGACGAATACGGAGTGAAACAAGCACCTCTCAGAAAACTGGAGCAAAGAAAGGCCCAAATTCCTCTGGGGTTGAGAACATCTTCATATCACACATCCCTGTGCTTCTACCCAGGTACACCTTATCTCCCTTCTAGCTTCTCTGTGGCCGTGTCCTACCTGTCTTGCTTGGTCAGACTGGATGGTTCAAGTAAATCTGCCAAGCTCTTGATAAACATTTTTATATTATTTGTATAAAGTACTTAGATTTTCAACTCTGCAGCATTAATGTAGCCAGTCCCACTTGCCTGCTGTTAGCAGCAGCACTGCCCTTTGCCCACCCTAGCCCACTGCAAGTTATGCTCCTGCGCTTTTCCATTTTTTTTGAGCAAGGTTTGACTGCACTTCAGAAAACTCAGACAATGGGTCAACACTGCCCTGTTCTCCATAGAAGCTACTAATATTAGCTGCTATTTGAATGGTGGTATTTGTTCATGGGTTCCACTGCCAGACAAGTCCTCCTGTTCTGCATGCAAACAAAAAACTCATCCTGCTGTGGTACAGGTTTACAGAAGGTATTTAGGTAAGCCTAGGCTTCCCAACAGAGCCACCCGATGTTTTGCATACATTCCCACCACTAGGCAAGACAGCAGTGGTAGTTCCTCACATACAGATTTTCGACTCATCCATCCCTTCACATAGAAGGGAAGTGCAGCCCTTCAGATGTCCCCACAGCCTGAAGTGTGGTTCCTCCACAGGATTTTCCCTCCCAGAAGTGCTGTCTGTGCACGTTTTTCTCACGTCTTTCTGGCATCGGTCCCTTCCACTTGGCAGAGAGTGCCCAAGCCTGCTGAAGGAGTTTTGAAACTGGGTGCAACTTGCTCCATGCCTTCCCTCCAGTGTTTCACATATGCTCTGCTTTCCTAGGAGCTGCATTTCTTGTTCTCAAGAAGACAGGAGATTTTCACAGCAATGCGATCAAATCACTTCCTGAGGCACTGAACTCCTCAACTTGGCCAGGGCAGGCTGCTGCTTGCCTCCTGTGTTTCGGGTGGTGGCAAAACCGGGTGGAGGAAGATCGGGTGGAAGAGTTGTTAACAATACACAACCAGTTACATATTTCTCCCATTCACAAATACTTCAGAGCTGACATTAAAATCGCAAAAAAGGAGAAAGTCTTGAATTAGGAAATCAAACAACTGCAACTATGGGCCTTCGTCTGTAAAGAAATTGTACTGCTTTTCTAAAATATCATATATTATTGAAGTTTTAAAGCCAAGAACTCACAAGCACATAGATAGGAGGAGCACTGGCTCAAGCAACAGGCAGACATTGATTTAACTGCAGGTGACTCAGAATGGATGCCCACGGACTTAATCTGGACTGAAAAGAGAGCAGAAGAGTATTTGCCCTATGGGGATGGCACAGTCACACTTTGCTGTCCTAGTGATGGCATGCATGTGACTCTTCCTGTCTTTCTGTTAAGCAACAACTGCAGAGCTCTCCTTGGAGTGGGTGCACATGGCACATACACACTCAGTCTTAATTGCAGCAGGAGTAATTTCGTGGTACAGTGGCTTCCCTAAAGAGAGGTTCATGACTCCAGAAGAAGTGACAATGGCTTAAGGTGGTGTGTCAGACACCTGAAATCAGTATCAGTGAAGAACAAACTAGATTTTAGTATAATTCACAAAGGAAGGCTTTATAAATAAGGAAGAGGTAAACTGGAAGTAACTGATCTGGCTGATCCTAATACATGCCATGGGCAGGTAGCTATTTGTGCCAAAACACTTGCCAAGAGGCACGTACCACCGGAGACAGGAAAAGATCTAGTGTATGCCTGCAAATACACCTTGGATCCGGAGAGCTTGTTGTGTTTCTGCCACACTTGTTTGCTCTGTGAGCTAAGATCAACCAACACATTTCTATCTTGCAAAGACATGATGTGCAGCAAAGTGATGACACTGCTTGCTCAGTAAATCACTTCTGTTTCATTTTGCCCTTGCCCTGCTCTGTGCTGTAGCTTTTGTGAGGTATTGAAGTGAACTGCTTACCAAAGCAGTCTGTCTAGCGCGAATCATCCACAGGGATTTCAGAAATAAGGTAGCAGTGAATTACTGTACAATTACACCCTTTTGCAACAAGAGAGACTGATCAGAAACAAACTGCACCAGCTAATGCAGCTTTCTCATCTATTCAGACTCAGAATGTCCTACATTCTCCTCCCTCCAGGCAGTGGCTGCTCTGCTAGGCTAACAAATGCCCAGTTGATATTTTGCTGGCTATAACATGAGCAAAACGCATCCATGAGTAAAATAAAATCTAAAACTTTTCCCTCATAAACTTGGTTTCAAATGTAGGCTTCAACAGCCATCACATGCATGGGTCAGGGCAGCATTTTTGAAGGAAAACTGAGGACCAGGAACTCCCTGATGTGACAGAAGACAAAAACAGTCAATAGCCAAAGGCTGCTCACTGCTCCATGTTTCCTCCACCCTGCTGTCAGAAACATGGTTTCCAAAAGCCAGAGAGGGCAGCAGGCAGCTGAGACCCCTATTTGACCCCAACTGTCACTGTGGCAGACCCAGCTCCTCCCATTGCAGCTACTTCCCTACAAGTGGCACTGCTCAGAGCACATCCCAGCCCAGGAGCAACACTGCAGGACTGAGCAAGGAACATGGCTGCTGCATTAAAAATATACATTAAAAAAGCTAAAGAAATCCAGGCTTACATTTATCCCACATCAATGGCATTATTGCATTTTGTAATGTCCTACTCAGACGTTACTCATTCTGACAGTGTCTTCCTATCTAGAAACAAACGCACACTCCAACTTTTCAGCACATAATTCAGCACACAATGCAGCAGCATATCCTGAAAGCACTGTGAGATCTACAGAGAGGAAATCCTTTGCTCTGGATTTGTGCCCTAAAAAAACCAAACAAGCTGATCCAACACTCCTTGCCTATCTGACAAGGGTCTCTGCAGAGACAGTGACCAGAATGAGTGTAAAATACATTAGAAAAAAGTGTCAGAAGCAAAGCGCTTCTATTTTCTAAAGCATGCCCCTGTGCGCTGCAATCTGTGCAGATGTGGCACCAGCAGGGAGCAGCAGAGAGCCCATGGGCAGCAAGACCATGCTGTGCTGCCCAGTACTAGAGAATTACCATAGGGACTTCCTAGGGAATGCTCAGCACAGGCACATGGCCAGGCTGGTCTAGCACCCAGAGCCCCACAGTCTGGCTGGGGGAAAACAAAACCCAAATTCTGCCCCCATCTGCCCAGGAGGCAAGTCACAGAATCTCTGCCAATGCGATTCCTCCAAATGTGGTCCCAGGTTATTCAAATTGAGGATAATCAGGGCCCAGGAGAGCAGACATTCCTCACCAACTCTAGCATCCACACAGCTTCGCAGCCCTTCCTTGTCACACCACAACAGTGAGAAAAAAGGAGGCAGCTTTTTTCCATTTTAGCATGCAAAATATTTACAAAGGAAGGACACTGAGTTAGAAAGAGATGTTCAAAGGTCAGCCCCACTGAAGAATACAGCGCTTTCTAAACCTCCTTTGTGATAAATCAGTCTGCATTCAGCTTTCAGGCCTGTTCAGCAAGTGTTCTGCTAGTCAGATCAAGTTTCCTTTCTCCTTTCTGCTTGGTCTCTTAACAAAATCAAATGGCCTTTCTGTGCCCTACTGCATGACACCTGCTATCCTGATGCAGAAGCAAGAGCCTGTAGAGCAGGCGGTGCGTGGCACAAGCACAGGGTGTGTGGGCATCCCTTGGGCTGGCAGTGTGGGGTAGCCTGGAAACATACAAAATATAAGCAGACACTGGGAAAACATACTGAGAAAGCATCTGTATGAAAAGTAACTGTCTGGATTAAGTTTCTTGAACAGAAACGCAGCTGAAGCCACCTTCACTAGAAAAGCTCTTAGCCCCCCACTGGATAGCTACCCTTGAATCTGACATGGCCAAGAAACTCAGAAACTCCTGAAATAAAAAATGGTAAACTAAGACCAGTATGGACAGGCAAAGCAATCAGATCACAATGTACTTGCTACCTTGCTATGGATGGGGTGATGATACTATTAACCAGTGGGAAAGGAGGTAATTCTATGGAGCTGTTTGCTTCCTCCAAACCTAAAATCGATCAGAGAATCATA